AGAACCGATGTAATTCATTAGCTTCTTGTATCTGCAGAGCTCTGCACATGTCCTACCAACTCACTCTGGAGTATACCTGTAAAACCATAGTGAAAGCCAGTAATTAATGTGGCACTTACCATGGTGCTGTCTAGTTCTCATCCCACAAGGACAATTTTACTGCATGCATCATCTTCCAAACATTAGGTTGTTGAATTCAAACTCAATCTGCTAAAAGGAATCACACAAACCAAACAAACAGCGTAAAGAGATCATAATTTGCATATACAAAATGGAGGTTTCAAAAACGCATGCCTTATCACTGGCTATTGCAAAGTTTCTGACCTCGCTTGATCTTGAGATTTTACAACCTTCCCAAGTGTAATATTTGGCTATACAACAAAAGTTACAAGAAAAGTTAGGTTCTGAACAACATACCAATCAAAAGAAAATAAGAGGGAGGGTCAAGTATCTGACGTTAGACACAAAATAGAGTCAGGTTCTTAAGCACAGTTATTGGAAACATAGCACGTATAGTGGTGCAAGACCTGTCACCACATATGCACCAGTTAGGATATTGACTGTACAAACTATATTAGCATATTAAAAAATCAAGGAAGATTAAGTTACAAAAGGTTGCACTGATTCCATAAAAGATGGGAAAATTTTTCAGGGAAAAAGTAAAGGGGAGAAAGTCACAACATGCTCAAAGTCATTTGATTCCGAGATCTCACTCCATTGCCCCGTTAAATGTTGAGTCCTGACCCTTTGAAGTGCCAGAAATATAAATATAAAGAATTGATCCGATCAACAGTGACCCACAATACAGGAAAGAAGGTACTAACAAGACAAAGGAAAACCCAACAGTATGAGAAGCAGAAATTTAGAAAAATATTAACCAGCATGAGTTCTGAGGTTGGACTTCAAACCTCCAATTCTTTGATCAGATCATTTTGAAATACACCACTTGCATTGAGATGTCCATTTTCCAGAAGTGAATCCAAATCTGCACTGCATATGCCAGCCTGCAAAGATCCCTGACTCTCACAAGCTCAAACTTCCAGAATTCTCACTGTCATCTGGTACAAATCTTTTAACCCAAAATCCTCAAACAGAGAAACTCACCTCACAATTGAGGTTCTGAGAATTGGAAGTTGACCTAAATACACTTTCAGCAATTTCTACCACAGCTGTCTGATTATAAGGTTTGACTACCTCTTGATCAACCTCCACAAGAGTCTCTTTCCAGTTTAAGCTTTCCCCTGTAAGACGATGCCAAATCCACAATTTTATCCTGATTCAGTCCACTCTTGCATGTTTCTTGGACTTCAGAATTGGGAACTTCACATGAAGCAAGAAGCTCATGTCTTGGAATGGTTTCAGCAGCCTGTTCAGCCAAGGCCACATCATTCCTAACTAATGAAAAATCATATACATCTAAAGAAGTCCTCTCGTTTGAGGTGACAGGATTGTACTCAAAAGTTTTTCTCTGTTGGTTGGTAATCTCCAAAGTTCTCTTTCCGTTGTCTACCTGCTTGGTTAACGATCCAACCATGGAATTGCCACCAACATCCCCATTCATTGAGCCATCTAGTTTAGTTGCTTCACCAAAGCTAGTATGAGATCTTCCACCACACCCATTTGTACTACGTTCTGGAGAATTAGCCCCCAGAGAGACCCACTTCTCTAGTTTAGGATCTTCTAATCTGTCATCATGCTTTCTCTTAATTTGTCTCTCTGCAGAACCAGGCTGAGACTGTGAAAAATCTTCAGAGATTCTTCCAGCCTGCTGGCTTAGAGGCCTAGATGATCGAGACCGTTTATACCCATCACAAAAAACAAAGGCAGGAAGCTGCTTCCTCCAAACATGGGAAACGAAAATTTCCATTCCCGGTTTCCAGAACGTGTATGCATGTATCTCTTGCCTAAGCTCTTCAACCATTCCACATATATCAAATTGTTGACCTTCCCGACCACTCAGTCCCTCTTTCCTCTGCAAACCCATGAAGAAAGCACAATGTGGGAACTGCTTAGATGCATCTGCATTCTCGTTTGGATAGGGATGACACTGCAACATTCCATTTCTACCCTGCTCTATCTGCAGAGTTACACATGGAAAGCATAAATAAGGAGGAAAACACTAGCAACAGTTAACATTATCTCACAATCTTCAGCATGATGTTTTACATAAGCAGAAAACTCCGGCAGCAAAGGAGTTTGGAAGGAAAAGTTTTTACCTTCAAAGTAAGCTGTCTAAGCCGTGACTCCAGCCAGCCTTTCCATATCAGCAAATCATTAGCATCTGATGCAACTATGTCAACTTGTAGATAGTTTTTGTATGCCTCAAAGAAAAGATATGGCTCAAATAAAGCACTGCACTGTGCTTTGTTCAGCTCAATCTCCTGCAAGAGGACAGAATTACACAGGTTGTGTATCATTGCTCAATTGTTGGGGGAATAGCAAATAAAACCACCAGGCATTCTCACCTGACATATCCTGTTACCACATTTGAACTGGTCCATCATAACACAAAGAGTGCTTAAAGAAACATTATAACTACAATTCATACATGGGTATGCAGGAGTTATTATAGGCATATGATGCAACCGGTCATGAGGATTCTTCCGAGGGTTTGGCCACTGCCACAGTGTATACACTCTGAAAAATTGAGAAACCAGCATACTGGGGATTGCGTTGGGATAGAGCTGGCAGACATGTGCTACCAAGAGAGCCCAATTAACACCTCCTAAGAATCCAGTTACCTACAAAGAAAGAAAGTGGAGATGAACAATATGAAGAAGAAAAGAATAACAAAGAAGAAATCCCATCAAGATGCTCATCTTACATTTGAATATATGCCACACCTTTTAGTCCAAAACTTCAAACATCTGAGTGTTGTCCGGAAATGCTACAGTTATGCAAAGGAATAAAAGACTGTTTTATATATACAAAATAAAAAAAATTAAAAAAGTAAAATAAAATAGAGAGCCAGGCATGTTAAATGTTCACCTCAACATTTGGAACGAGTTTAAGGATTTGATCTGCAACCCTGCACCCATTAAGACTTCAAATAGTTTGTTCATCAATATTATACAGCACAGACCCATGAGAGATGTCAAAGTCCTGTCAAACATTTCCAAAAAATGATCGTATCAAACAGAACATGATCCCATAAACAGTAAAGACATCTTAGCCAAAAAACCGTGAATCACACTAAGATCCTTCCAGCTATTGGACAAACTCATTTTGAACCACTAAGCCCAGTTGCAGGATAATAACAGTATAGAACCCAGAAACCCTAACACAATTACTTCAGTCTGTCTTTCATTAGAAGACCAGTCCTGTTCTTCCTTTTACAATACTAGTAGCAAATAATGGCCTCCTGTATCTTTTCTGATTAAAAAAAAGGCCTCCTGCACCTTTATTAAAGCATGCAAAGTAGAAACTGAAAAATTTTATGTGTTCTAGCTGAAATAAATTTATAGTGGGGGGGAGGTGAATTCAGAAGAGGTGATAGCATTTACTTTCACTTAACTAGTACCTTTGTCTTCGAGATACTGTACTAAATAAGCCGTAAATTAAATGAAATCATTCTCTACCTCAAGTGGAAGAAGGCATAAGCGCGCAGGTCAATGAGATTGCTAAGTTCAAGTAATAATAAATTAATGCATTTGAGACTTACATCTGGAACAACCAAAAGAGATATACTTGCATAAAGAAGATCAATTGATATTCCCTGGAACTTAAATTTCATAACTTAAATTTCATAACTGGGACGTGAGCATCTGGAACTGGTTGAAGTTCAGTAACTTCTTCCATTTCAGCCAGAGTATTATGCAAAATAACGAAGAAATCCTGGGTAAATAAACTCAAACAAGTATTAGTTGAATTGAAACCAAAAGCACTCAGATTTATTGAAAAAGTAAATGATTGGCCAGCTATTCCTGAAGCACCTCTCGATTCACATAAGAAGGTCCAACACACAAAGTGTCTATGTCAGCCCCAGGTCCATGTACCTGTCAAAGAAGTAGTTTATTACTTCCAAAATTGCCAAGACACAACATGTAGAGTCAAAACAATGCAAGAGCAAATTGCTCTTAGGGGTCATTTCGTTCCTGCAAAGCTTCTACCCCTTGGAAAGTTGTCTTGGAAACTGGTTGGGAAGTCTTGCTTGGGAAATGGTGTCAGAAAACCTATTTTTCATTTGCGTTTTGGCGATGTGGCAAGTTGTTTTTCTAGGGGTTTTGCCCCTCATTCCACTTCGATGACCAGGGAAAACTTCTTGGCTTTGACCAGGGAAGTGAAATGGAAAATTTATGCCAAACAAAGAAATAATAACTCATAGATGGTGTGCAAAACTCCCTCATGTAAGTGCCTGACAAACAAGCATGCCGACTTGATACTTATCCCAAGACAATAAGACCCAAAGGTAGAGAGAATGGCATTTGCTTCCTCCACCATTTGATCTGAGTAGCTCCTTTGACGAGTTAATTGTTTGACCCAATATTCATGATCCACAAGGAGAGAAAACTAACTTAGGAGAGAAGCTTCGGCACCCAAAAATGTGAAATAAATATACAAATCCTTGAAAGTTGAAAGACACAACTAGAAACCCATTTAAAACAGCTAGACTGCTACTGTTCTACAACAATATCCATTAGATCAATAAAAGATGGGATACATAAATGAAGTTACCCGGAAGAGAAAAATTAAGTTGAAGTCAACATAATAACAAAGTTCACAAAAGAGGAGAATTTTCCTTGCTAGGCCTAGGGCCGTGGCCTTCTCCAGACTTTATTACTTGTCTTCAATTATTTTCATTCCCAAGTATATTTATTCTCAAAATTTAATTAATGTACAAACTTTCAAGATTTAGACTATCCTTCTTTATCCTAGCCAAGAGAAGTCCTTGAGGCTTTTGATAAGACTATTGCAAAACAAGAGAAAGAGCAAGCTAAAATCCTGAATTTTTCAAGGTTCACACTCAGAGATTTTCAAAAAGTTAAAGTAGTCACCCAAACGTAGGGTGATTAACCTAGTCGTCAACCAAGAATGGAAAGCACCAGGTAGGGAAAATGCCACCACATCTCACCATCTTGACTTCTTCCTAGTTTGGAAAGGAAAAAGAGATTATGTTTCTAGCTTAGTCAATTGAAAGCTCAAGTTAATTTCAAGACCTCATTCAATCCTTCATGTTCTACTCATTCTACCAGAGCCCTCTTCTCAGCTGCAAATCTATAGACTCTCTCTCCTGCCAAGCATGCACAGAAATAACAACCAAAAACTGCAACCTATCAGGCAATAATTACCAGACTGATACGACCAAGAACTTCTTCTCTTTTGGCAGCTTCTTCTTTGCTTTCGCAAAGCCCCGAATCCACCAGAAACTGCCAATGTAACAAAATTCATGACATAAAAATGAGCAAAACATTCAACTTGAGGGGAAAAAAAAGAAAAAACTTTCTCCGAAAAAACAACCTTCTCCAATTCAGCATTGCGCTGGATATCAACGTCGGTAGGACCAGCAAGAGATATAGACTGTGATTCCGTACTTCTTCGAGGATTGTGATAGCGGCGGCGACCCAATCGGAGTCCGAGAACCCACCACCATTGCGTCACAACACGATAAAACCCCAAAAAGACTCTTAAAAAAGGAACAAGCTTGACTTCACGCTAGAATCCGTACAAATCCAAGCAAATCTTAAAAGGATGAAATCAATTCGACCTAAACATTACGCAGAAATGTACAAATAACTCGATTCACACCAACGAAATTCAGATTAGAACACAAATCGATAGTGAAATCAGAAGAACATACAGGTCAATTCCAAAGTCCAATTTTTTTTTTTTTTTTTTGGAAAAACGATTCAGCAATCATGAATAGGAACAGATCAAAACCCTAATTTGTAACAGAGAAACGAAACAGCCATCGATCATAGAAAAGGAAACACAAAAATTGAAGAGAAAAGTTGACGAGAAGTAAACGCATTAGCATAGAGGTAGGAAAAGAGCGAGAAACAGGAGGGAAGAAACTGTTTCTGTGTTTAACTAAGAAGCTGTTCCTGTGTGCTAAGGGCGTTTGGGAAACAAGCTGTCTTTAGTTCTAAAAACCTGCGGTTTTAGATGAAATATAATTTATTTTTAAAGAGGGTAGTATTTCTTATATCAGTCCCCTGATTTTTTTGACATGGACAGTTTTATGTTTCACCTCTATTTTAAGACAGTACAGTCCTTAGTAGCCTTGCTAATGATGTTCTAGAATTGAATGGTTGTTCTGTAAGTGCAACTGTAAACCTTAAATCAATAATGGAAGTGAGACGTGGCACGCAATGAGTTCATGCTAGACCCTCTGATAGCGGAGAAAATGAAGGGTAACTCCTTGATCATGTTTGGCTGATGTAATGGTTTTTTTTTTCGGCAAATTAAATTAAACTAAATTTAAGAAACCATTTTAAGAAGTTAGGTATATCTAAATCTTAATGTTAATGATGTTGTATTAAATTAAGGGATGAATAAAAGACATGTATTTATACTTTTTTTTTTAAGATAAAAGTATTTTCAGAATATTTGATGATGTAAAAGGAAAATTTAGGCATTCAATTTTAGTATATTATTATTAGTTTCCTACTAAAATTTCTTAATTTTATTTTATTTAATTTGAATAAAGAATAATCACTACCAATAACCAAAATAAACCCAAAGTAGTTCTCATTTAATATGATGTGAACTATAGAAAAAGTGGATTGGTGGGCTATATCTTAGAGAAAACAAAAAAAGTTGAATTTTGTCTCACAATTAAACTTGTTATATTTTTTTTTCCTAATTTAATGTGAATAATAATAAAAGGATTCTTAAAAGTAATACCATAAATAAATTAAATTATTTATAAATTATTAAACAAAAGTTTAAATTAAAATTGACTAAACCTAATTTCAAGTATGTAATATCAAACTCAAACTCAAGTTTAGTAAAAAAAAATAATTGTTCATATACCATATTTAATTTATAAGTTGTATTATTAACTTAAAAAAAAAAAAAGTAAACAAGTAATTCAATTTTACTTAAAACTCATGAGTTTGAGTTCAAGCTCATTAACATAGCTTCGAGCTTCTTGACTCATCTTGTATTTGCTTGTACTCGGGCTACCGTCATGGAGGTTAAATAGTAAATACTATTGTGTCTCAAAATAAAGTTTGGAAGCATAATAATAAAGTTTTGTTTATTACTGTATAAATTATATATTAATAAAAATTTAATTAAATTAATATTTACTAATTTAAAATATTTAATTTTGAGTTAAAATCAAGAGTTATACGTGAACTGCACTAATAGTTCTGCACAAACCTCGTACCCTTCTCAACCTCCCTCTTCGGCTATTCCCTCCTTCCAAGATAGAAAATTCTAATTACTCTGTTTGAGTTGGACTGTTTTTTTATTTCTTACCATTTCTTTTATTATTATTATTTTATTTTGATTCCACGTTAGAAAGTAATTGTTTATTATTTTTTATCTTATTCTATTTGTATACCATATAATTTAAATTTAAAATTTTTTATTTTCAACAAAAACACATAATTATTAAATTATTTAGATAGTTAACTTTTTTTTTATTTTTTAAATTTGAAATGAATTTAGTATGAGAAAATGTGTAAATAAAAATATTAATTTT